AATTTGACAATTATATCAGTGTTCTGAAGACAGGCTGTCAAGTTTAAGACATGATTAAAGCGAAAAATGATTCAGATGTTGACACCATTGTGATTTCATGTCAGTCGAACAAATTAATAGATACAACAAAAAGAAATCGGAGTATATTCAACCAAACAATGCAATTTTTTCATAAAGCAGTATTAGGCAAATTTGATATTGCAACTGGTATTAGTGTCTCTTTAGTCATAGCCTTTATCAGTCATATTTAAACTGAAAGTAACATTCTTTATTTTTTTTATATTGTTTTGTATAGGACTAAATTCTATTGCACATACTGAATTGCCAGTAAATGAAGCTTGATTTTGTAGAACTTTGTATAAAAATATTTTTGTCTTTCCTTGAAATTCAAATTTGGTCATGCTTGTTACACATATTTCCTTTTTTATATAATATTCTCTGCTTTGATGGCAATTGTTCATACTTCATGAAGTTCATTACTTGCTAGTTCACAAATGTTTTACTTGTTCTTGATTATATGTTAAAACATACAGTCACTTTGGAATTCTATCTAGTGGCTATTAATGAAAATAGCCTTAAGAGATTTCATGATTGATTTCAGAATTATGGAACAATAGTAGGCTAAGGATGATGTACTCCCAACTGTTATCATAACTCATCAATATCTATAGGCTGTTGATCAACTTTCATTGATCCATGCCTCTCTCCGTCAACATTCACGTCATTCAGTCTGATCATGACAACATGGTTTCTTATTATAGTCCTGCCTCAGAGACTTGAGACCAGACTGCTCACTGGTATAAGATAAAATCATACGGAAAGATATACTGATGATCTAGTGACTCATATGTTGTCTATTCATATTTCATTTTTCGTCTCATCTGTGGTCAGATTGTATATAGCTAATGATTTCAAAACTCATTTGTGACTTGAGGATTCCTAACTCATTATTAAAACATCATAATAAACTCACTATTTTAATAAGAAATCATCATTAGTAATATGAAGAATGTGTTGTAAGGGGCCTCCCAAATACAGGCAATATTGTCTATTTAGCAGGAATTCGTTTTGAAAAAAGGACCTGGCTTTCTTTAATTCTTAATTCTAAAAATGTAAAACTTTGAAATAGAGAAAACACATAAATTCATCATGATAAACCATGATATCTCAATTCTTCTCAGCCATAAATCATGTTTCCAGTGAAACAGAACCAAAGAATATCAGAATGCATAGAATCCTTGAAAGATTTGATCAGGTCCTAAGTATAAAATACATTAAACTGAAACTGAGGAGGTTATCTTTTATGCCCAGTTCGATCTAATATCATACAAACCAGAATACTTGTCTAGCACTTTTTATTCAAGTTGGTTGTTGATTTTTAAAGGCCATTATTTTGATTTTGCATAGGGGGATTTTTTTACCCTAATGTTCTCTATTTATTCTCAAATCATTTTTTATGCCCCCATCACATAGTTGAACCATATTGTCAGCCTATATTTTATTGAAAGAATCAGAAAAATGTTTATGGTTTGGCATGATTGCATTAGTTTACTCTAAATCTTTCAACACCTTTAACTGCTCCAGAATCAATGTAACATAACTTGTCAAAATTCTTCTGTGAAAACAAACAACCTTTAATAATTTGATATCATTGGATTCTTGCTTCCTTTTTTACAAGATGTAAATCTTGCCAAACGTGTGTTAGGTAGAAAATATTTCTAGATTTTATAGAATAGAACTTATTGTTTTTATGTAAAATGCTGATATTAGATGTATGCTACTGCATTCAATAGACTTCTGGCATCTTTGCATTTCATGTTTCTTTTCTTATAGTTGTATTTTTAATTGCCAAGTGACAAATCTAGGATCAGGTTACCAAAATATGTTCCAAAGTTTAATAACATGTTACAAATTTACAGTTAATTTTTGAGAACTGCAATCACCTCATATGTTCTCAATAAAAAGAATATCTTAAAAGGTTTTCAGATATAATGTCTTACAATGGCCAACAATCTCGCACTTCTACGGCAATCATGGAGTCTAAATTGATTTATATACTCAGAGAAACAAAGGACTCTTGAAATAATACCTAATTTGACCTATTAAAAAGCATTCTGATACTCAGACCATCTCTGCTATGCACAAGAATGCTCTGATATACTTTGCACTGATTGCCGATCGAATGGGCGGGGCCTAGATTTATAATGATATTAATATATTCAATGACGTCAGAATTCTAACCAATCACAGTTGATTAATTTCTAAAATTAGAAAATATACCTTTTCCCCACGATGCTATACATGATTTGTAGTTCACTACAACCATGGTGCTTTAAAGTTATATATAACCGAGTTTCTTGGCAATCCATGCGTTTAAACCCGACTTATTTGAAGTTGAATTTATGAAACGAAAATGACGTCCGACATGACCTACATATTTTTTTCACTTTTAAAGATTTCTCTAACCTGTTGATCCTTGAGGGGTAAATATCTACTCACATCACGTCTTTATCTCATTTTCTACACAAGTAGTCGATACCTAGTCCGTTTTCCATCGATTTGATCGTGTATTTAACAAGTTTAGAAAAATCCTTTTTTCCTAACGAGGTACCATTATCGTTCGGTCTATCTTCCGGGATCATCGTGGTAGCACAAACTCTTCCCGCTTCCAGTTTTAGTACTAAGGAATACACCCTGTTTATTTTCTATCAATGGTATACACTTCTCTTGAATATATAAGCGCAAATGCCAAAAGGGAAGGGTACGTGAACAAAAACTTTAAACCTGCACATCGCTCCAAAACGCAATATGTTGACATATTATATTGTTTTTACATTTTCAAGCTCTAACATAAAGTTTATGTAAATAAAAATTGTTTTTTCTGCGTAATATCAAAGAACAATCATTTAGTTGAAAAAAGTAAAAAGGTGGCGTTGGGATTCGAACTCGGGCCTGCAGCGTGTTCAGCGAGGATTCTACCGCAAGACCACGAGTCCCTATGAATATCAGGTGTAATTTAACGCTACTTATTTGAAACTGAGCGATCTGATTGGTGGAGTTCTTACACCCGCCACTCACTGTCACGTGACCTGTAAATACGGATTTGATTCGTCATATCACTTTGGCCGAAATCTGGACGGGCCACGCCCCCATCAGATCGAAGGCTATTGCCAAGTAACTCACGGCATTCTAGAAGGACACTGAGAGAAGGCTGTGATATCTCACGATGATTAAAAAGTAATCTAAGGTTCTTTGTTTCAGTTCACAGTCTAGATACACTTATTTTGTGTTACCTGCACTAAGAAGATTATGACAACCATTTGTCACTGGTGTCTGTAACAAATGCTACATTTTGTAACTATTTGCAGGTGGTGCCATTTTCATTTTCATGTTTAAGTAGGTTGTTTAACAATTTCTAGATTCTTGTTATGCTATCAGCTTTCACTTGAGCATGTTTTTTTTGTATTGTGGCCTATTGTTATGTTTTTTATTGGAGTATGTGTATTATCTTTTAGTCTGGATTGTAACAGGTATTATGAGACTAATATATCACCATACATACAATAAGAGAACCTCTTCTATTAATGTTTAAGTATGTATACTATTTGAGTGTTTCGTCATGTCTTTTCAACTGTTGTTACAGACTAAAGTGTGGCGCAATGTGCAGGAGTTTCATTTGAAGCAGTCCAATCAGATCTTCTTGCTAGGAGTTTGATTTTGTATGGCCATTTCTTCCGACAGCATCGTTGACCCAGTGTGGACCAACATTCAAACATTATAGAAATGTGTTTTTTTCTGCTTGCTGATTGGTTGAGAAAATCGGATAAGTTTGAATTGATTTATGATCAGGTGTGTGGTGACCACTGGGAATATAGGCGTGGCTGCTAAACTGTAAAATTGTCTAACCTATTCAGAAGTTAGTTTAGAACTAAGTTTTGTGCTCAGGGTAAAAGTCAAAAGAACATTTCAAAAAGTATTTATTCATTCATACAAAAGTTTCAGTTACTTGAAGTTGAATGAAGGAATTTGCTTAAGGAATCAATATATGAGTCCACTCATATCGAAAGCCCATGGTCCACTGAATGATGCCATATTTTCACAGATGTAAGAATCAAGCTGATTTTTGTGACATACAAGTTCTCTTCCATTCCGATGATAATATAGGGGCATACAAACAGACCTTGATTGCATATTACCCCCTGCTATAACCCAATCTTACAAGTCAGAAGAACCTTGTCAGAAGCAATCAGTATCCCTCTGGTAGATAATGTTTAATTATATAGATTAGATACCACTATTCACTTCTTTTCTTTATTATGAATATAATGACACCCAATGCCTTTTCAAGTAAGGAGTGTCACTTTCAGTTCTTTTAACTATCTTGGGTTTGATTATAAGGATCCCATGTAGTTTGATCAGCCTTGCAAGAGTAATGTGCAAGGGCTAACAGGATGACTTCTCAAAACCATTTCCATGAATAATTTATCTATGTAATTAATTACTTTTTAATTGATTATGTTTGTTAGAGTTAAGTAAGCGAGAAGGTCCTTTTTGAAGGATCGCTTTTCCAAGTGGCACATTTATGAAATCATATACAGCACTTCTTAAATAAGTGGCTGTGTGTATTTCTTACAATGGCATAGTGTTGCATCAAGTTTTGGTCTACCCAGTACACTTTTCCCTACCTAAGTATATAGGTTTTGGTTTGTTAGTTTGAGGAGGGAATATACAAAGGCTGGTATAGGAGGCTCTTTGCAAGACTACCACATATTAATAGCATATTATGTATCCTTGAACCTCCCATTACCCTTATTAGTGACAGTCTTGCATCAAGTTTTTGGTCTATCTATAAACAGTTCCCTACCTTGTATAGATAGATTTGAGATTATTAGTTGGATAAAGGAGTATACAAAGGATGGTAGATAAGGCCTGATGCAAGACTAGCCCATTCAATCACATTTTTATATCTATTAAAGACATATTTCACATTGTGTTTGCAGTATCAGCAGAGAGATATGACCCAGAAGCAGATGAAGACGATTCAGATGAAAAGGTAATTAGCTGTTCAGCAAAATGATATTGCAGATGTTTATAGAATCTAAAATAGAGTGGAACCATACAGAAAATGCACATTGTTCAGATTTAGAAACTATCAAACTAGTGAGAAAAAAAGAAATGACAAGTATGATTGCCTAGAATAAGAGTTTGTGCATGTATGTAGGATCAGATGCAAGGGCATGGCATAACTTCTAAACAATAATGTGGTTATCTCATCAAATCTACTTCAGAACCTGGTTGGTGTGAGATGTCAAAAAAGAACATATTGGCCCATCTGAAATAACTCACCTTGACTATGTTTATAGCATAGGCGATCTCTATTAGGCAATGAAGCAGTTGTATTTGTACATTTGTTAACTATTTTGAGTGTCAATTTCATTCTTCTATTTCCTTGATAATTTGCCAATATTTTCAATGGCTTCATTTATTTTTTCTTTTACCAGTGCTTGTTAAGATCATCATGTTCTACTGTTTAAACAGGATGTTTCAAGAGTCTGGAATTGCAAGGGGTTAATTGTGAAACCATCAAAACTGTAATTGGAAAAGATGAAAAGACATCAGAATTTCCTGTTATTAGAGATTCTATGGTTATAAAAAGTTAAATAAAAAGTTTACATAGACCATTGGGAGTAATTGTTGAGCTATGATCTTGATTATCAACATGAGTTCAGCTTGTTCGCTTTTATGACTATCATTGAAGTTTATGTGGGTTTTAGATTCAATTTCAACATCATTATATTGCTTGAGGTTTTTGCATGTATCATTGATGTTAATTTTGATGCGATTTCTGCAAAATGAGTATCATGTATTCATTGGATTTTAGTTTATGCCTGATATATTAGCTCTCCAATAGTTTAGTACCAGCTTATCTATGGTATTTCGCTGGTTTGGGATGTGTGTGTAGCAACACTTATATGAAGTGGCTAGAGTTTGATGTATAAAAGCTTTTATATGCAGATATCTGCTAAACTAAATATCAGCATCATCATACAAATACATCAACACAGTACAAATACTTATTAAAGTTATGGTACTTGACATTCTCAATAAGCAGCACCAAATGGGAAACTACTCTAATAAATTGGTTTGAATCAAACTTGAATTCTAGGTTCAACTTGATAGAATTCATTATCAAACAATTATTGAAAGTGACTGTATCATGAACCATCAGAATAGGCCTTGAACTCGGCTAGTGTTGAGCTCTCATTTAAAGTTACTAATAACACTCAAACATACTGTTCTACGAGAATTCATTCTAAATTTAATCATCTTTAAAGGTTAGAATAGTCTGAATTTTATGTTCTTCATCTTCCATTAATTAACAAAAAGAATCTTTAACATTTACTGAAATTGTTGTTGTTGTTTCAGGTGATCTATCCAAAGTCTGATGAGCAGAGACAGAGGCTGAGTAATGCTGTCAAGAACATTCTGCTATTTAGAAGTCTGGACTCAGTAAGTCACATTCTAGCCCCTGCAATTGCAAATTGCAAAAGTTGATATTTAGATGCACAACTTTTAGAATAAAGGGGTACTCTTATAAAGTCATATATTATTTTCATATATCTAGGGTTTTTGGTAGATTCTCTAAAAAAAGTCATACATTTTTCATACTTACTTCTATAGTAGTCTGTAGAAGTATCTTGCAATAATACTTGTTACCTGAACTGACCAGACTTAACGACTTTATTCAGCTTTTATTTATTCTTCTTGGAATCATACAAATACATTCACAATTTTATTTCGTTAATTTTTTGGAATATAGCTGATTGATCACATTTTAAGATGTGCATGAACTGCTTGTGTCGTTAACTTGCAATGAAAACCATGTGGTTATGTGAGATAGCGTCAATGTAATTATTTTGCCAGAATGGTTGATCATGTATAATAATCTTCTTCAGCATTGAATCCTCCAGGACTACTCCCATTTGAATGTTTGATAATTACTTTCTTTTCAGTTGTAAATCTATTTCGACCAAAGGAAAATAAAAAGGCATTTTGCCAGTTGGAATTTTTTTATCCATTAAGTTTGAGGTTTGTCAATAGATGGCATAAAACACTGAGTTAGATATTCATTAATATAAAATCAGAATGATGGAGAGAAAATTGAAGTTTCATTAATGCCGCGATATTTACATGTCTTTCATGTAGTAAGTACCAAACAACCCACAGTATGTGACTTGTGACCTATCTTGTATTTCACAACTACATTGATAAAATTAATGCCTTGATGCCTTAGAAGCATTCACTTTGCATTTCTAATAGAGATGTAAGCTACAAATCACACACCTAAGCAGTGATGATGCTGAGAAATAGAATCTCAGTAGATAATTAATTGAAATGGAATAATGGACTATTTCAAGAAATAAGGATTCATTTGTTATCTAGAAACTTAAACATTGTACACTTTACTTATAATAATATATTGTCTTGTAACTGTTGAGTTCAGATTGCGTGAAATCTATATCGAATACCTTTCTGTGATGTAAGGAGTAAACACTTTGATCAAAAAAGAAATAATAGATCTCTGAGCGAAACAGGATTTTGCACCCTTTGTGATAGTTTAAAAGAGAGCTTTATCTACCTAATGTACAGGGTGTCCCGAAAGTATGGGGCCCCCCCTAGGCAGACATATTCCAGTGTCCTCATAGTATGTGTCATATATCATTTTAAAGCTTATCCAAAGTTACATTGATTTGCCAAGTATCATGGTTTAACTCCCAAATGGGAAAAAGTTAGAGTCATTTTTAAAGTTAGTGTTTTGTCAAAATAAAGTTCAATTTTACACCATAATACTAGTCAATGAGTCCCCCCTTGGCCATGTTAACAGCAGCAATTATTTTCAGATTTGACCTTAAAACCCCTTCAAATTGGGGTGTGGAATTTTATAACCCTCTTAAAACCTGTTAAGGCACTTTAGAAGAGTTTCTTTAGAGTTTCTACCCTCACCATTCTCTTTTTCCAACTCAATATCCCTCCGACCTGAAAAGAATTGCTGCTGTTAAGATGGCCCGGAAGGACACATTGACTAGTGATTTGGTGTAAAATTGAACTTAATTTTGACCAAACACTAAATTTTGAAATGAATGTAATTTTTTCACATTTGAGAGTTGAACCATGATACTTGGTGAATCAATGTAACTTTGAATAAGCTTTAAAATGATATATGACACATACTATGACGACACTGGTATATGTCTGCCTAGGGGGGGCCCCATACTTTCGGGACACCCTGTACATGTACTAGCCTCTGACACTCAGAGTAATGATTTTGATAATTGAACCAGATTTGTCAAAATATAACAAGTAGATTTGTTTTGTCATTTACAGGTTATCATTTGGTAAAGAAATAACATGGACATACTCAGTGTATTTATTCAAATGCACATACTCATTCCGAGTAAGATCAATTTTCATATGAAAAACTAGATTTATACTTTTTGATAATCAATATTTGTCAAAGAAATTCATTGATTTGTTATGAGAAAATACAGTACTTCAATTTGCTAGATGCTTCCAAATGTGACCCTATTGGGCCTAGTATATTATCTTAAATCCTCTCACTCTACTATACCTTGAATTTGGCATTCTGGTATGCCAGAGCCCCTCTTATCTACCGTTTGCGAGAGATAAAGACAAAGGGGGCGCAGCTATCGCGATGTGAATTTGGTATTTATGAGCAACCCATTTGGCTTATTAGGAATGATTATGTTATTTGTTATCGTACCTAATAAAGGTACGATATTGTAGTCAGCTTGACGGGCGGGCGGGCAGCGTCTCACTTTTCAGCTTGTCTACAGGTTTCCAGCCAAACCATTTGACAGATTCATCTGAAATTTTCAGGAATGTTTCTACGTATCAAAGTTAAGAACTGATTATTAGTTTTTGGGCATTCTGGGTAAATTTTAAGGTGGCCATTTTGGATTTTCCGTCCTAAAATCTTCACTTTCAAGACTTGTCTACAGGTTTCCAGCCAAACCATTTGACGGATTCATCTGAAATTTTCAGGGATATTTCTACGTATCAAAGTTAAGAACTGATTAGTTTTTTGGCATTCTGGGTAAAATTTAAGGTGGCCATTTTGGATTTTCCGTCCTAAAATCTTCACTTTCAAGACTTGTCTACAGGTTTCCAGCCAAACCATTTGACGGATTCATTTGAAATTTACAGGGATGTTTCTACATATCAAAGTTAACAACTGATTAGTTTTTGGGCATTCTGGGTTAATTTTAAGGTGGCCATTTTGGATTTTCCGTCCTAAAATCTTCACTTTCAAGACTTGTCTACAGGTTTCCAGCCAACCCATTTGATGGATTCATCTGAAATTTTCAGGGATGTTTCTATGTATCAAAGTGAACTGATTAGTTTTTGGGCATTCTGGGTGAATTTTAAGGTGGCCATTTTTGGATTTTCCGTCCTAAATTCTTCACTGTCACACTGCTGTGTTTTAGGTACGATATTGTTCACGTCTGTGCCTTGTTTTTATTTGTCTGTTCCTTATTGTTTTTAATGGTTTATTGGATGACTGTTAGATGTTAAAGTAAGGTCCTTTCAAAAATATACTAAACAATATCAGTGTTCTCCCCAGGATTTTTTCTCAAATGGGTGCAAAATTCTCATTTTCACAATTCAGTCCAAAATTGGTAAAATATGCCCATTTTACATGATTTTTCTTAATTTCAAGTGGGTGTAAATGAAATCTTGGGTGGGTGCAGACCTGATTTTAAAATCTCAGGTGGGTGCTGCACCCACTTGCTTTAATGCTGGGGAGATCACTGAATATAATTAGACAAACAGAGTATCTTATGCATTTCTAGGGGTTAGGTATAGTAGAGTGCCTCTATTGCCAACTAAATTGCAAAAACTTCAAAGCTCAGTTAATTTGATGAGCTCTGTGTTGTGCTTATAAAAGTTATTTACCAAAGCAAAGAACTAGAATTGTTTATTTTACATTTCTATAGAAGACACAATAACTTGCAATAAAAGTAATTGGAGTTGTCTTCTATTTCCTATTAAAAATGACAACGTGATACAATGTTTCTTACAGATGTAAGCCTTGATGTATTCATTCATTACACACTGTTCATTAATTCTTCTTTTTAACAGTGAATGAAACCATACAAAATAATAATGATTTGATTTGAAGTCAAGTTGGTATTGTGATAGTCCATTAATTATTAAGAGCCTTCTGGTAATGATATATGAATTTCACAGAATTAGGTCTCTCATGAATATGCAGGCCCGTAGCCAGGATTTGCCAAGGGGGGGGTTCAGTTTTCAAAAATTTCCAGAGGGGGTTTACATTTGACAATTTTGGCCCAAATATGGCTAAAATAACTTGAGAAGTGCTCAAATTGGTGAAAAACTACATGATTTTGAAAGAATTTTTGGCCAGGGGGCCAGGCCAGGTTCGCCCGAACCCTGTGAACCCCCCCTGGCTACGGGCCTGATATGGCTACTGTATTCCTCTCTAATGAGCATATACATTGGGGTTTCAAAAAATCCATATGGGCTCATTGGAACTGTACGCTCATTGGAGGGAATATGGTATATAATAATGTTTGCTGTAAATGCTATTTCATGCATACGAGGGTTGATCCAAAAGTTCCGAACCATTTGCTCTAAAAATCTTAATACTTTATGAAAATTCTTCATATTTGGCCACAACCACCCCATATATAGTAGTCTCATTTTGTGAAATAATAAGCAATAAATTTGACCAGCAACATAGGTATCTGGTTACCATAGTAACATGACAACAGGGTATGTGGAGCAAGAGTACAACATATTGTAGAAGTGGAAAAAAGTTGATTCTAAAAGAGTGTTACAGGGTACCAAATTTAAAATGTATCAGTCATGCCTGCATGCCTATTAACCAAGTATTTTTTCAATTTGTCCATATTTCGAATTCATTGTTAGTTCTTGATTTAATTTCGCAAAATAGTCTCTTATCATCTTATATACATTTAGTATATCTGCTGACCCTTTGATCAAACACATCTTTACATTCACCATCACCTGTCTCAGAAAGCCACTCAAGACCAGCAAGACAGACTTCATTTAATGTTATAAAGCATGTCTTGCCTTGTAATTTGTACTTCAGGTCACTATAAAGATAAACGTCAGAGGGAGGCAAATATAGTGAGAAGGATGCAAGGGTAGGATAAGGCATGCGCATATTTTCATTGACGTTTGAGTATAAGTATTGAGGTATGGAATTGCGCATTTTCGAAATCGAACTGGATTTTATGATTTTATTTGACTGCGGCTTTTGGTGCAAGGCATCCTTCTGGTCAATGACATCACAGTTGCCAACTTGTATGATATCAGATCACACATATAGCATTGGTCTAATGAAAGAAAAATTGATTAATAGGCATGACTAACAAATTTGAAATACATTTGGTACCCTGTATACATCCTTCAAGTGTCAACTTTGTTCCAACTCTACAATGTGTCGTTCTCTTGCTCCGCATACCCTGTTGTCATGTTGCTATGGTAACCAGATACTTATGTTACTTGTCAAATTAATTGTTTATTTTTACACAAAATGGAACTACTATATATGGGGTGGTTGAGGCCAAATATGATCAATATTCATTGAATACTAAGATTTTTAGAGCAAACGGTTCGGAACTTTTGGATCAACCCTCGTATATGTCCCAGCCATTATATTATGATTCAAGGTAATTCAATAAAAGTATAGTAGATCAAAATCATTTTTTTGCAAGTTTATCTCATGGTTATTTTATTCAAGTATGACTAGTGTTGTGCATTGGTGCCTGTAACATATTGTTACATTATTCCCAGTTGTTACTGATGCCTCATTTGCAATTACAGTGTCAGTGTTATTTTAACCTTTAGCGTGCTGCCGGCGGACGAGTCCGCCGAGACTAAAATGTCTCTCACAACTGCCGGCGGACCCGTACGCCCGATTTCAAACTTTTAAAAACTTTACTTTTTCGCGCCATTCGTATTGTCCAATTACATTGCCCGATTTATTCAGTGCCTAACATGACTTCCTGTTGACCTAGAAATGGCGATATTTCGAAAAATAATTCTCAATTCAACAATTTAAACAGTGTTTTAGTCGTTTTTAGTGAACGAATCGTACAAAATGGTGGACAAATACGATCACAACGAAAATGTGGAGGAAATGAATTGCGATTTCGAGCTCTTTAGACTCTTGGAAGCCGATAACGGTCATCGAAAATAGAAACTAGAATATTTTCTGAATTGAAAAATTGAACATTCGATCGCTGCAAATTCAGATTTGGATTCTGACCAGACGAAGAGGCGGAGCGGCGGATTCCGGAGGAGTATTCATGGTATATTTATGCCCAGTCGTGTTAATGTACGAATAAATTCATGAGAACATTTTTTTTCATGAGCCAGGCCACTGTATCTTCCCTTTGTGAAAATTTTATCCAGATTCATTCAGTAGTTATTGAGATATTAATTATTTAGTCCAGGCATATCGTTTTTTGCACTCTTTGAAAAATAAGCCAGTTGCGTGGGATATATTTGCTGAAATAAGGCAGCATGGTAAAGGTTAAGCAAGTATGTCAAAGTTGTTTCTAAAACAGTATGTCGAGATTTCTACAAGTACAGTTTACGAAGGCCTAACCATTGGGATTGAGAAATAACCAAGCGCTATTCTTTCTTTCTTTCTTTATTTTTACCCACACTTGTGAATAAAAAATAGTACATACATTACATACAATACAATACATACAATAATACAAATCAGTTTTTACTTTAAATCTTAACTGCCAATAATCTTCATTAATTTACCCATGGGCTTTCAATTAGAACTTCAAATTGAATCCAAATCCTTGAATGGGGAGGTAATCCTGACTAGATAAACTCATTGGTTATTTGTATTTGTTACAAAGACTGATAATATCTTTATTTCCTTGCAATGTATACATGAACTGTAAAATGTCCTCCCTCCAGGCCTTAGGTAACAATCTTGGTTATTTTAGGGAGTTTATGTATACTTAAGCATTACTCAGGAGATGAAGAAAAAGTGCTCCCTAAAGGGAAGTTTATTTCCATAAATGCCATTTACGGTTTTTATGATGTCTTCATTCTCTTCTTACACAAGTCCAAGCCATTTGCATGTGATGTTAGTACTCAAATAAATGTGTTAAAAGGCCAAGTTGATTAGCTGGATTACTCCTCAATTTACATTAATCTCTTACATGATCAGGTGTTTGTAGTGGTTGTTCAATATGCTTCTGTCATAGCTAGCATGCCTTGATGAGACCCAGGGGCTGAATTGCTCCTAATATATGTTGTTTAACATGCAGATCACACATCTAATCACTTGGCAGTTTAATGTCTACTTCAACGGTTTCTCCCTCAATTGTGTTTTATTCATGCTGAATTTCAGGGGATCTCAAGTCACATTGGTTATTTATTGTTTCTCATAACATAATCGTAACATAGTCCCATAGGGAAGGTCCTTAGAAGTAGCAAAGTGAAGAATTATATCATTAATAAAGATTACTTAAGTAGACTGTGCTATAAGAGACACATCATTAGAATTCTTACTGGGGTCCCATAGGTGTATTTATCCCCCAGTCCCCCAGGGGTTAGGTAACTATAGGTGAATAGCAGATCAGAGGATCCTATTGATGCCGTTCACATATTCTTATCATGGTAGCATTTAATTTTCACTTAATTTTCATTTAATTTTCAACAGGGTGTAGCACCCAGTTGCGCTTATGTTGGTAGATACTGATTGTCTAACCTAAAATTTATTTGAATTGCATCACCTGCTATGTCTTGCATCGATATATTATTCTCAAAATTACTTAGAAATTATGCGTCAGTTTGTCATTTTATCCAGCGAGTGTAATTTTGATCTAACAAAGAATTCCCCATTTACTTCATGCTCGAAAGTGTGTCATTTTCAGAATATTGAATTTGTAATTTATCATATTAGTCTATAAAGTGAAATCAGTTGGGATAGTACATCATTTTTACTGATTAATCGAAAGCTATGAGATGATTTTAGGAGCAACACATCTATTGACTGGTCAATAAGTGGCATCATAATGTACCATATCATCCTCCTCTATCAGTTTTCATGTATCCTGGTTATGAGACTGAACTGTGTGACATGCATCAGAATGAGTTACTGGGATTGTCATTATATATTTTTTTTCATATCTTTATTTTTACAATGTAATGCTATTTTATTGATGATAAGCACTGTGCAGCTATATTGTGGTTATTATTGTTTTGGAGAAGGTATAATAGGTCTACTGACCAATTGCAACATATATATGTAGTGAGAAACGGTGCAACCTCTATGTATGTGATATGAAATATACAAGGGTTAAACGCCATTGGGAGCAATTTAAAATAGTTCACGATGCAAAGAACAACAGTTTATCTCATGAAGGTGTTTATTTTTGCAGGTTTTAAGAAATTGCCATACCGAGACCTCATCAAGATCGATGTAAAATTGCTTAGTCTTATTTATTGCTTGCTTTATTATTCTAGCACTGTACATTTTCACTTATATGAGATCTCCATGGATTGGTATTATGTTTTGATCTTTATTAGAGATTGATCACCTTACCATGAAGTTAAATTCGTAAGAGCTTTGGAGGGTTACCCACTGGTTAGAAACTGATATTCTGACTTAAAACCATACCAGGTTAATATCTAAGAAGACTAAGACTGATAATATCTGATTCAATAAAATGATCAGCGAATTCATTTTTTTGTTTTTATTTTCAGGAACAAATGCAAGAAGTGATAGACGCCATGTTTGAGAGAAAGGTAAGTTAATGCTTAATATTATCTTTAAACGAAGGCCACATTTGTTGAGCAATTATTTACCAGCCCCATTTTTATTATAATTATTGGTTGAACAATTTGGCTGTTTGGCTCCTTACTCCCTCAGTGCAATATTGACAATTTAGACTATGGATGACTATTACAGGCAGTATGGAAATTGTTGAGCAATCAGAAAATTCATCTGCCATTACCTTAATTGATCCATTGAGCTCAATCTATTACTTTAAAGAGATAACTTATTTTTCCTGTTCTAAAATGACAGCACTTATACTACAGAAAAATATAAACTTTAGCTCGTAAAGTTCATTGCAGCTTTCAAGTTTGGGGAATATGTAAATCTAGTCAACTTTGTGACCTCACTCAGAATGGGATAAGTGAAATCACTAAAAGGTAGTCTAGCTACACACCTCTACGACCCCCCCTCTTAGCCCTCTACTTGAATAAACACCTTCACACACTTGTTGTGGTGGTGGGGGGGGGGGGTCACAAGGGCTTGGAGCTTGATTAATTAAAAGGTTTCATTGTGGGATTCTTTCTCTGTTCATGAAATAAACATAAAAAAGGAAGTACAGTACCCTAGTTATCAAGGTAAAGTTATCATACATCTTCTGTGTGCACTCTTCTAATGCAATTAAAGAAATAAAAATAAGAAAATGGAACCATACGGTTGATTCTGTATATTCTCTTCATTATGAATTACCTTGATGGATCAAGGTGAATTGAAACAAGCTATTCTTATGTAGAAATACAGATCCTGCAAGTCTCTGATAAGTTGATTTATAAGGAGCTCAGCATGGCACCCTGATATTCTATGGGATTAGGGAGCTGCTAATACAGAAAAATTACAAGGATAGGTGCTATTGTGAATAGTAACTATAGCAACAAATCCTGCAGTATGACGATATTGTGAATAAAAGAAACATAATGATGTTAAAGCAGAACTCCCAATTACATTCAGTATATGTCTCATTGTTCTGTTTTATTACTGCGAAAACAATTGTTCTTAAAATTGTGTTAATAAATGAATGCGCTATATCACAATTGTTACTCATTTAAATAGATATATGGGCTTTATCCTTGAATAAACGTCTCTTTTAGCCTTCAGTCATATCTCGAGCTAATAAGGTACAGGAGGACAAGCTGAAACGATTCAACCTGAATTTGTATCATTGCTACAATAGTTAATAATAACCATGAACTACGAAATATATGAGAATTTGCACTATCAGGTTTCATGAAATATTAATTTTGTATATGGCTATGCGATGCAATTTAGCACTTGGGTAATATAATTCATCTTGTGTATCTTTTATTCACACATATTTGTGTGTTAAGGACATATATTCTGTCAGGAATATATTATCACAAAAAGTACAGGAGATATATTATGTAAGGAAAAACACAGGTTTACACCAAGGGACTAAATTATCTGCATTTTGCATTCGCCTTGGATCACAATGAGAATTAGATATACATACTAAATATTGTTTGATGGTATTATTACATCTTTAACGGTAAATCCTCCTCCCATATATGGTCATTGAATGCAATGAACCCAATGCTGTGAAGCAGCGCTGTCATTCATTAATCAACATTGAATATGCATCACCACTACCTAGACTGCTTGATATATACTGGTAATACTATAGAAAGGAGACAATTGAAAGGCTATGAAATATTAAGTGTTCTACTCGAGTATCATCCTTGGACTGTAATCAACTGTTGTCTGTGTTTGTAATAAGTTTCACAACTATAACAAAAAATAAAGATAGGCTCATGTACATCTCCTGCTGAAAATTCTCTCAAATATAGCTTATGTTTGTCAAAATGCTTCATAACAAATACAAAGAAATTTAGCCCTGCAATATGACAAATACCATTGATATATGTATTATAATTAACATGATGAAGAGCCAGTTATGCTTTTTAGCCAAAGCCCTCCTTTAATATAAATACATTTGTAGTTTAAATGCTTTATCATTATGAACATAAAAGTTATTTTAATTCCTTAATTCATTGATTTCATTTCTATTTACTCTTTTTATCAAAACATGACCTGATCACCCAGCCTATCGTCAGGCGCAATATTGGTCAATATTTGAGGTCTACTTTTGGTCTACTCATAAGGCGTACTTCTGGTCTACTTTTGGTTTTTCTCTGTGTTAAATCCCCATAGTCAGGCGCGTTTCAAATATTTAAATTAAGCCAAAAGTAGACCAGAAGTAGACCTCATTTGATGACCTCATCAGGTTTATCAGGTCTATATTTGAGGTCTAGACCTCATTTAAGCCTCAACTATCTGTAAATCAGGTCTATATTTGAGGTATACTTTTGGTCTACGCCTTATTTGAGGTTCACTATTGGTTTTCAGGTCTACTTCTCTTCTGCTTTTGGTGTACACCTTGCGTTAAGGCACATTTCAATTATGGAAATTAAGCCTTAAGGTCTAATTTTGGTCTAGACCTCATTTCAGGTACAAGCCTCATATACCTGTAATTAAGGTCAGGTCATGTTTTGTTGTTTCAAAGTAGAAAAGTACTTAGTACATATCAGTACCCTCCATAGTTGTTAAATAAATTGCATTTATTTTGAATTGCTGTGTTGTTTTCTAGGATTAACTTGTCTCATAGATAAGATACAGATCTATGAACACATTAGAAAGATGAAGCAAAAATTACACAGTATTCTTATATAAATTATATGTAGGCTTCTAATATGATGTATTTTTGTTTCATCATTTAAATTTAACAATATTTCAATATTTTATTATTTTCAAACATCCTTCTTTAGGTTTCCCAGATTTTGATTATTTTTTTAAGTTCTGATAAAAACCATTAATAGGGAGTTGAAAATACAGTTTACTGGTCTGTTAACCTAATATATTATAATCTCTATTATAGTCTCCTTCGTGATTCTGACAAAATACTACAGTAAGTGTGGCTTTTTCAGATTTATGTTTTCTAAGTTTTAAAAAAAATTCTATGTTTATCAGGTCTAGATTTGGTCATTTTATAAATGTTTAAGTTTTTAAGGCGCAGTTTTGGTCTATACGCCTGTCAGTGAGGTCTATTCTAAAATGTTCTTAGTTTATCAGGTCTAGATTTGGTCATTTTGAAAATTGTTTAAGTTTTTCAGGCGCACTTTTGGTCTATACGCCTTACAGTGAGGTCTATTCTAAAATCTTCTAAGTAAATGTGGTTTAGATTTGGTTTTTAAGGTGCAGTTTTGGTCTATACGCCTGAAAATAAGGTCTATACCTGGAATTAAACTGGAATTATTGTGAGTAAATGAGGTTAGGTTTTGGTCTAAGCCTTAAAAATACCTGTAAAAGAGGCATACTTTTAGTCTAGACCTGGAAGTAAGGCGCATTTGAGGTTAATTTTTGGTCTACGCCTCAAAAACCTGATGATAGGCTGGGCATATACAAAATGTTTTGCATATAGTAGATATAAATGAATGTTTAATATGGCTCTACCAGAAGATAGTACTGTACATGTATATGAAATAAGTCAGATCTCTCTAAGTTCATTACAGATATCATTTCTGTTGTATATTTTGTTTATTTACTGACACCATTTGTAAATGTAATCTTAATCTCATGATTTGAGATTGTATGTAGGGAATATTTGAGAAAGCACAACGGAATTTGTAAACCCAAACATAAACTATTCATAAATAAAGTAGATATTCCCCTTGAGGTTCAAATCATCTACAGCTGAATATATGCAATAATATTTGTTCAAGGAAAGGAGGAGGGAAAGTATAGCAACAGATTTCAAACAGTCATATGTTGGATTTTGGCTATTTTCTAAGAATTTAAACAGGTGCATATGTTAGGCCAATACATTATCTCCAGGAAAAGCACTCATAGAAATGATAAAATAATTTCGACTTTGAGACAGGGAAGATGCAATCAACCCACCCATATGTTTTTTCTGAAATGTTTTCCTGATTTTCAACCCCTTCCACCCCTGCTTTTTCAATTTTTGTTACATCAATATGTTGCGTTTTGACACACAATTAATCCCTTTGAAGGAATAAGTGATTCCTTCAGGGGTTTTAAAGATATACATTATGGGTGACCAAAATTAGTTGGAAGCAATGGATCACATGAGTTTTGCCCTATGGGAAAATAACATGGGAAATATTGTTTTCCACTTTCTCTAAGAGGAATCACTTATTCCTTTAAATGGGTTAACCGTGTGTCAAAACTTCGAAAATATTTTATCAACTCTATGAGTGCTTTTCCTGGAGATAATGTATTGGCCTAACATATGCACCTGTTTAAATCATCAGAAAATAGCCAAACTCCAACATATGACTGTCCGAAATCTGTTGGGATACTTTCCCTACTCCTTTGTGAATACTACAATTGCAGACCTCTAAGATCCAGAACATCTTCTTTCAGAATGAGTTCTGTGCTTGAAGGATGCATTTATGAAACTATCCTGGATAGCCTGTCTGCTTTTAGTTTCAGGAATTTAGTAAATTGGAGCCATGTCAAAGTGGCATTGTTTCAAAATAAACATCCCTCATTGGAATTTTAATAACATCTTATTATTATAAAAACAAACAATATATCACCAGGATGTTAAATAAGTAAATTTTCATTTTGTCGATAGAAATCATTCTTTTCTATACATGTATATCCAAAACGAAGGATGTTCACAGAAGAATTGATTTGTAGATGAATAGGTCACTTGAGTGCTCTATATGTTGATATAAAGTTTGACACTTGCCCGCTATATTTGTTCTGAGATTGACTTCTATTGATTTTGAGGTAATAAAGACACACGATTGATGAATAAATGAATGAATGGTACTTAGCGCTTCGATTGGACAAGAAAGTAGTTCCGGCATTTAAAAATAATATGTGTACAGTCTGTACATGTGTACCATTGAATGAAAATTGCATACGTTTTTAGAGGAGTGTTCTTAATCACTGGTGTTATATAAAATGAATAAAAAGATAACAGTCAAAC